TGTTGATTTTGTACAACATTTTCTTCCCCTTTTTGTTTTGTGAAAATTGGGGTTGAGTGATAATTTTATGAGATAAGTATGTTTGATTGTGTGTGATATGTTGCACGAGTCTGCAAGAGTCCATTAAGTGTGATCGGATGGTTGGTGTAAGCTATTGGCACGTGTAGTTGAGTTGGGACACCTCATTTTATGAGATTTTATATTATAAAAAAGTGATCAAAACAGGTTTTGGTGTCTAACTTTTTATAGAAAATAAGTTTGAGTATGAAATCGATGCCATTAGCTAGAGCTAGGAGAAAGCTCTGTGTAGATACCAAAATCACCTCAATCGGATGTCGGACGGAGATTTGAAACACGCCGAAAGTTTGTGCCTTATGCTGTCAAATGACAACACTGATGCTATCAAATTTCATGTAATGCGCTTTGGATCACATGCCATAAGCCGCGGCGCACGTGACACTTTGTACACAAAATCTATTTTTGAGTTTTAAAACTCATTATGTTGGGTCTCAATTAATTTTCAAGCTTCTGCTTTCCTTTCAAAACTCTAATTTAGACTTATTAAATCATGTTTGAGATTTGATTGTTGAGATTGGGATTTCTTTGAAAGAATTTTGAAAAATTCCTTCTATAAAATTTTAAAATTTAGTAATCATTTGAGGGTTAAATCCTAGATTGCCATGATTTGGAGTCAATTGTGATTTAATCTAAGGGAGATTACAGATAGTATGTCTCCAAATAATATGTCTAAAACTAAAGCATGGGAGGGAATAACTTTAATGATGAATGGACGTAATATCTCCAATGCACGACACTAAACAACTAACAAAAGCATGGTATGCACCATGTACAAAATATACGAAATCTCTTTTAACAGAAGCAACCAAACGCAAATAGGCGATTCTAGAAGCCTAATTTCTATCCCAAACAAAGTCTCAAGCAACCACAAAAAACTAGAAACAGAGTCTTGACATGGTTACTAGAAAAATTTGTAAGCCAGCCAAAAAAATTTGTACACAGCAAAACAGAGTCACTGCATCTTTCAAAATAATGGTTAGAGAACATAATTTACCTTACAAGAGGCTTAACCAACTGATGCTTCACTCAAACAGATTGGAGACAAACAACATTAACCTTCAGAAGCGACACTTAATATAGGTGGGTGAAAGATTGATTGACAAATATTTAATATTAATAATAGTAAAATTGAATTCAGAAGCTACCTCTTTCAACTTATTTTAAAACGTGATTCTAGGCTTATCAAGCGATTAACAAAATTTGGTGCTGTTTGGATAATTTTCATTTAAAATGTGATTATGGCCCAAGAAATAAAATTTTCATCCTATCCAAACAGGCATTAAGATAGGCAGAGATGTGGAACCCCAAGTCCTTTAATTTTTTCTTAGCAAAATGTATGATTCATATATTTTTGACCCTACCAAAATATATTTGTATGTATTTGACACTAAACATAGGATTTACTTTCTTTTTAGTAAATATAAACTAATATATAAAAAATTGACAAAATTAATATATAAACAATTATGTTTCTCTTTATATATAAATAAAATATATTAAATTATATCAAGTAAGTTTCCCTCGTTTGAGTTGAAGAATACATGCCATGTAATATGCTGCATATGAGAATTCAAATTGCCATCGCTTATTATCAAATATTCAAGCAATCTCATGATCCCATTATCAATTAAGAAATAATCTTGGCTGGATTTGTGAATCAATAAATCAATCAAATTATGGTTTGGTCTTTGGGTTTCCTTTTTTTTTTTTTATCTCCTTCCCGTTAAATCAATGACATTGATTGTAATCTCATGACCTTGATGGTATATCAATTATGCAAATATAAAAGACAGTGCTAAGGTAAGCCACTCCAATTTCCATATACCTTGCTTTTTTTTTTGCCAGAAATAAACCTTGCTTTTTCGCTATTTATTATTTTATTATACAGTTTGTTTTATGATTTGCAATGCCTTATGTATTTAATATATTGTCCAATTTTTGTTATGATTTTTTATATTTTTTATTCCCTTCAATATTTTACATAACATATTTTACAATCCATATTTTCTAGGAATGAAAGATCGATGTCTAAGAAAAAACAGCAAGAGATTGCTAAAAAGTTTATCGTAGGCATGATAATATATGATTTTTTATGTTATGAGAAATCGACGAGCGAAACTTAAAAAATAAAAGCACATATTTATTTTAATCCTATATTATGAAATTGAATATAATATGCATGTTAAAATATTTATGTTTAGTTAGTTATGTGTGTGTGTGTGTGTGTACATATTTTCTATAATTACAGTGTATACTTTGTGATTTCGGCCTCCTATAATTAAAAGCCTTGGCTCCCCACATACATATCTGATGACCTTCCTTGCCTGGTGCCATCACCTATTGGGGGCATCTTCCCTTTCCCACCATATTTTCAAAGTTTCTTAAACAGTCAATCTTGTCGCCATCTATCTTACTATGCTCTGTTCTTATTCAATTGACGGTCAAGTGGAGTTTTCTTTCTAGTAGCATTATTGTGCTCTGTTCTTCTTCTATCGAGATGATGACCATAAAGGTTGAAATTTCATAGCTCAAGATTCAGGCCTTTTTGGTTTTGTTACATTTCACATTTTAAAAGTTCTTCCCCACTTTTGAAATGCTAGATATTATTTGGGTAGCTTTTAATAGGTGTAAATAAACTTTTTAAAAAAACTTTGAAAAAAGTATTGAATGTGGATTTGGCCACTTACAATTTGAAAGCTTTTGAAAAGCGCTTTAAAAAAGGCATTGAAACTCATTTTATCATTGATCATGTTACCCTTCAGTGCAATGTAAACCACAAGTCAGACATCAACAAGCATGTATTTTCATCATCATTTTTAAGTGTAATTTCAAGTGCGGTTTTTGATAGACAAATAAACAATGGTTACGATTTTATTAGAGATTAGATTGTACATTATAAATCAAACTATTAATCATGTAATCATTTAATATTAATGAATGTTGAAATATTTATTATATAATTTTTCCAATATTAAAATTTATATCTTTTATTCTTATTATTTAACATATTAAATTTTATGTTATTTTAAATTTTTTTCACATTTTTAAACATTTTTAATATATTAATTTGTGTAACAAAAATTATAAATTATCATAATTAATGTCTTTTTTGGTTATTGTATATTTAAAAATACATTTTAAAAGTATAAATCATTATTAATCAAAGTAACTTTCAGTTTATTAAACTGACTTTTGAAAAAACGTATCCAAACACAAATTTTATTATAATAACTTATTTTTATTAAATTAATTTTTGTTAAATAAACTTTCAATAAATAAATTTTTTACAAATTGAAAACCAAACATACACAAAATAAACTACTGCAACTGCAACTAAGAAGCCATATTCCCAGGCATTCACAACACTATATGTGACATAAAGGAACCTGTCTTCTTCCTTCCTCACGCCATAGATAGCAAATATAATTGCACCTTAAATTGATGTTTTACAATGCTATACTAGATTAGAACAGGACTTCACAGAGGGTGGACACGAAAAAATAAAAAGAAAAGAATTTGAAACCAAAAATCAACAGAACAATCATGAAATCGTAGTCATATATCACGATCCATATCTGTCATCCAATTACATGTTCTTGTTCTTGCCGTCTTGCTCTCTGAGCCTTTTGAGTTTTGAGTCTCCAGCTTAGAGATGACATGATCTTTATTCACGCAGGAGAGTCGAAGCAAACGAAAGACAGTGGATTTTATGTGAGCTTGAACCCTCCAAAGTTGAGGGCATTAACGTTGAGGCAGAAGGAAGATGATGGGTTGCTGTCATTTAAGCTCTCTGATCTCAACACCAAACAAGGAATGTGACCAGAGATGTATGTTATCCACGTAGGCCCCAAAAAATTTAAAAAAAACAAGAGAAACAAACACCCCCCCCCCCCCCCCCCAAAGCGAATACTGAATTCGGTTGCATAGCTATTGATTGTGTTCAGAGCTCTTTCCTAGAATTGCTGTTTTGTTCCATACTTCCATGTGCTCACGTGAATTAAAAATGAATGCAATCAGTTTACACACACACATATATCCATGTTTATGATTCGGCCAACCTCCAAACTATCAAAATTAACAGCGTTGTATAACAATCAAACTATATCTAATGAAAAGAAAATAAAATAGAGACACTGAAAATCAACACAAATTATAAGGACTAACGAATTAATTTTCTCAATAAAATAATATACAAGAGAAAAATGTTTTTTTAAAAATAATATGTTTAATAATAATAAATTAATAATTTTTTTCTCGAACGATATCAATAATTTCACTCTTTCATTTAACTAGTCCTACTTCATTTTAATGAGTTATTTAAAATTTAAAAATTAGAAATCATTTATATATAAGACGTATTACAGTCTTATACTCACAAAAACAATGCATTTTTATATAAAAATTTAAAAAAAATTAATCATTTGATCTTTAAAATTATGAATTAGTTATAATTTAATTCTTAAACTTTATTTAATCTTTATAATTTTAACTTAATTGTAATTCAATTTTTTTTAACTTTGACTTTTACAACTCAATTTCTATAATTTTAATTATGTATATGTTAATCCTTGTGTTTAAAAAAATAAAATTATATTACAATTTAGGACTAATATTTTAAATTACTAAATGTTTTTAATTTTTAACATTTTAAAATAATTTTAATTTTTATAATTTTATTTTTTAAAATATAAAGACTAATATTTAAATAATTAAAATTATAAAAATTAAATTATAAGAGTTTAAATTAAAAAATTGAGTTATAATTAAATTAAAATTATAAAAATTAAATTATAATAAATTGAAATTTAAAGACGAAGTTATAATTGAAGTAAGTCTATAAAACGATTAATTTTTTTCTGAAATTTAACTACTACTGGCCCAGGAAATGTGAGCTAATTCTTCTCCTCAGAAATGATGACGAATCAGGTCTACCTAACGTATCTAATGAAAAGAGGGAGCTACAGATTTACGACTTGGCTTTCTGACACCTTGTGATTCTCCCTTAATATTTTTGATTTGATTTGACGCCTCCTGCATGACATATAGGCTTTCTTCAATATCAACAAGAGAGAGTTAAAGCCAGTAAGCATTAAGGACTTCCCATCTTCTCAAGGCGCTTTGAATCCCGGCCAATGCTTTGAAGAGATACAGTCCTGCAATTTGCAAACTAGGCTGTGTTCATCTTCCGCGCCCTTCCCCACCCCCCCTCCTCATTTTTTCGTTGTTTTTGGTTTTCTTTTGTCACACACTGACAGAAGTGATTTGCGATATTGGCTGGGGGCATAAGCAGGGATGAGAGAAGCGTGTGTGGACTGTGCCCAGAAATGTCTTTCGATTCACGGAAAGGAGAAAACATATTCAAATGTTCCTTCTTCCTTCTTCAAGGTCATGATTGGCGGCGATTTTTCTAGAGTTTTGGTACGACTCTCACTTGATTTGTAATTTACAAATTAGTTTTTTCGTTGCATGTGGTCAGAGTTAAGGCCTTCGTAATCCACTTCCTTTCATGTGTATTATTTAGATTATTTCTCGATTACCAGACGTGTATGATTTAGAGTCTCAACGTTATGCTGTAGTCACCAAAAAAGAAGTTTAATTGCCTTGTTCGGTGTTATCACAATTGCATTTGCTGTATGGATATTTTTAAAAATGCTTTTCATTTTGTTGTAACCTTCGTGCGCACAATACATTGCTTTGATCTGTAGTTTGTGCTTTGAACTGCATTATAAGGAACTTCATTCTGTATTTGGCATGCCTTTTCTGCTTCTGTAATGACATTTGAGAAAAATAATTGCTTACCTTGAAGCTAGGAACATACTCCCTCCGGTCCTATTTATAAGTCATTTCTACTAACCTCATCAATACCAATACAATAAAAGTACAAGGAATAAAAGTAAGTAAAATTCCAAACATGCCCCTATATAACAAATCTAAAAAGTAATGTCCTGTTACTTTTTCTCTCTCATGAAGGGTAATTTTGGAAATACCTCTCAAATATTACCTAAAAAGACGCACCGTTACTTATAAATGAGACCAAATACACCTTCTAAAATTGGATTTATAAATGAGACCGGAGGGAGTATTGATTAAAATTACCTGGTAGTTACAGGGATTCGAGTCGTTCACATTCTGCTCCTGCCCCATTATTTTACTTTTCTTCTGCTTCTTTGATCTTTAAGGATATCGTTCTGACATGCATGGATTTGTTCTTTGAACATGCTGTGGAATTGCAGTATCTGCCTCCTAAGTTTGGTCCTACAGCTTCGGCCTTGGTTGATAAAGAAGCCATTATTGAGGATTCAAGTGGACATGAATGGACGGTTCGAGTATCAATTGTTAACAATTCTTATGCTTTTCAGGAGGGATGGAAGAGTTTTTCGTCGAAGCATGGGCTTGAAATTGGAAGCTTTTTGGTGTTCCATTATATTGGAAGATCGCACTTTGTTGTTAAGATTTTTGATAAATCTGGGTGTGAAAAGATTGATTTTCCCTATCAGAGAAAGCAGAAGAAGAGAAAAACTTGCCTGATTGACCTTGACGGTAGTGAGGAATTGTTGAATAGACAAGGTTTATCCTCGGAGTCAGGCACGGAAAAAATGCAAAGCCATGTCGAGGTTGTCGGAGTGAACAGTGCAGAAATTAACGAAGGGAACACTTCAGGGAACAGTAATAGTAATGGGAGGATCCGATCTTTATACGAGGTCAATAACTATGAAGACCCTTGTTACTTGACAGACCGAGACTTTGGAGACAAAGAAAGAGAGGAGAGGAGTCACGTGTTTGATGCGTTGAGGTATGAAATAGTGAACAATTCAGGTATTCACACGACTGGCAAATTTACAAGCAGCAATGAGATAGTTGATGCAAGCATCTATACCAAAGATCCTTTGCTTGAAGAGATGTTGGGTATTGGAGCAACTCAAGATCCATTTGAAGTTGAATTAACTAGAAGTCATTTTCTTGAAGAGCTAGACAAGAGTACACTCTCCCATGAGAGACATTATTGTGGAAGAAAGATTCCTGAGAATCTTTTGATTGCATATACCATGAAACATGAAGAAATCAAAGAGAACAATGCCATTAAGCCCTACCGGGAAGACCAAAAGTGCCAATTTGCTGAGAACTCAGGTAACACTGTCATATGAAGAAGCTTCATTTTGTCTTCCTCAGATGATGTGTTATCAAGTATCAAATAATGTAAAGTTGAGTTTGCTCTATGCAGTTAATATATATCTGGTTCTTTATCAGGGACCGATCAATCGATATCGAAAGAAGAATATCCTTGGCACATTGGCAATTGTCAAAGCAGAGAAGACATGATGGTTGGGTTCCATGTGGCCCTGGATGCTCCTATCTGCCATGGCACGTGTTTCTTCTATTTGCATGCGTCTAAATATTTGGATTGGAGACAACTTTATTTATATGCCTTGATTAATTAATCTTTGTAACTATGGTTACAGCGGAAATGGGGAGAATGGTTCAAAAAGACCTTCCGGACATGACTCCAGATGTGCGTAGTCACAATGATCAGCTCCAGTCAATCATTGGAGATCAAGGCAGCAGTCTCAATTCAGTGAAAGCTGAACCATCTGTGGACTGAAGTAACTATAGCTATATTGACTGTACATTAATTTTACTCTACAAACTGCATAAAAGTTTTTTGCAGAAGCATAACAAAACTGAAATATTACACACGCGTATTCTATGAAGATAGCGAAGAAATTTAAATCTCTTTTGTGCATAACATAACCGAACCCTCTGATTTAATGGGAAAGTTTTGTTCTGCTATTTTGTCATTCACTCTTCTATGAACCCGAATGCTTGCATCATCTCACAGACAAACAGTGATGACAATGCAACTGGTGGTGCACCTTCAGGATCCAGGGAGGGGACAATGGCCAATCCTTTACCTTAAAAAATCTGGACAAGTTGATGTAAAGCTTTCAGCATGCAAGTAATTTTCAACTAGGAGATGTGATCACTTTTGGGCAAAAGAAAGAGTTCTTGTGCATATTTGGTGTAGCTGTAGATGGGGGTGTTTTCTTTTGGGGCAAAATACCATTTTGTTGCGCTGAAATTGTGAAAATATTATCAGTGTTGTATATAGCCTTTTGTTAGATCTACACATGGTATCTCAAAAGCAGGACAAAACCTTTTTGAGAAAATGAATGCTTCTCTTCCCATCAGCTTTGTGGAATTAATATATCAGTCCTGTTCCTGTTCGTTGGTTCTCTTAGCTTGTTGCTTCTATTCTTTGGCTTTACATTTTTTAAAGATTTTAATTTCCTAGGCCAGATTAAAAAAAAAAAGGAGAGAAAGCAGCATAATTATGTGTATTAATGCTAAATATAGGATTAAACTATGAAGATTACATGTATGCCTCAATGGCAGGTTGTTCCCTATTGTCACAACTAACAAATGACAAAATCCCACACTAAAACATCATATGATTTCAACTGCTGAATCTGCAATATTTGTTGCAGACACTTGGTTGTGTTCCTCCACCACCATTTTTCTCATCTTCATCAACCACCTTATTGCACAAACAGCATAATCATACAGACCAAGAGCAATATAGAGCCCAATCCCAGCAATTATCCCATTTGCTATAGAATAAGTAAGAGGCATCAGGAGCATTGTGGCAAAAGCAGGGACCGCCTCTTTTGTATTGCTCCAATCTATCTCCTTCACCATCTTCATCATCATCACTCCAACCATGACCAATGAAGGTCCTATAGCCCACGGAGGAACACTGGACAACAGAGGAGTGAAAAACAGTGAAATGAAAAAGAACAAACCAATGATCACAGCCGTTAACCCGGTTCGGCCTCCTTCTCTCATTCCGGCCGACGATTCAACAAATGTTGCCATGGTTGTAACACCCAAAGCAGAATTCACAATGGTTCCAGCCCCATCAACCAAGTAAGCAAAGTATTCACCTTCAAAGTGTCCACCATCATCTACAAAGCCCCCAAGTTCTGCCATGGTGTATATAGTTCCTGTGCTGGCAAGCACGTCCACATAGAACAGTGTGGCTATGGCCACCCAAACTTCACTTCTATGAAAACCATTGAAGCTGAGAACTCCTAATGTGGATTCAATCCTATGAAAATCAACCACTTTCTTGAAATAATTGTAATTCTCATCACCCAGTTGAGTATTAGGAAAATATGACAGTTTAGTACCCCTAAACCATGAAACAAAAGTCACAAACAAAATACCATAAATCATGCTACCCTTGACATTCTTCATTAACCCAAAACTCGTAATAAGAAACCCAACAAGCCCAAGCCAGAATTTTGGGTTTTGCATCTTCCCTCCCATGCATTCCCCCGTATCTGGGTTTGTGCTGGCACAAGCTGTGACAGTCACTAAAGTAGACGGATCCGGCCCAACAAGCCCAACACCTTGGTTGGCCTGCAAGCCCACGAAGGCGATGAAAAGCCCAATCCCAACCCCACAAGCGAGCCGAATCGAATGGGGTATGAGCTTAGCCAGCTTCCCTCTCAAGCCGAGAGCCGAAGCTAACAGAAACGAACATCCCTCAACACAAACGCCGGCTAACACCGTTTTGTAGGATAACGGTCCCGTTCCGTGAAAGCCCACTAAGTTAAAAGCAACATAAGCGTTGGGTCCCATACCTGGAGCCAAGCCGAAAGGCAAGTTGGCTAAGACTCCCATAGCCATGGACCCAATCATGGCTGATAAAATAGTGGCCACAACGAAATCATTTTTGGTCTGGGAAAGGCAGGTTTGGTAGCCGACGTTTGGCAGGAGGACGCAGTCTGAGGTGGCTGGAGGGGAGCAGTCTGCGACGGAGCAGGTTCCGCCGGAGGCGGTGAGGATGGTGGCGTTGACGGAGATGATGTAGGCCATGGTGACGAAGGTGGCGGTTGCGGCACGAAGTTCTTGTGTGAAACAGGTCTTTCTAGCTTCTAACTTGAAGTACCTTCCGATGAAGCTTTTTGATACGGCATCGTTGAAGCGTTTCCATGAGCTACCACCTCTTATTCCTGCACACAAATCTCCTCCCATTGTCTTTCTGAGTCTCTGTTGGAACGAGAATGACTATATATAGCAAGACGGATATATATATATATAGTTGTCCAGTTTAATAATTATTCCCTAATATTAAATATAAAATAACTTTGGGAACAAATGGAAGCCATGCAGGTGAAAAACGTAATTAAATTCTTAATTAATTTCGAACCAAATCTGATTAAGGTAATTAATGAAAAGTTCGAAAAATTATTATACACAAATCGCACTACAATATTCATGAAACCAAAATTAATTAATATTTTTATTTGCTAAATCGTGGGCTTCCTTGCCAAGTTTGAGTTGTGTAACATTGTCATAGTGGCTGTTGTCTCCTACAGAATTTATATGATAGATTAACCTTTTCAAACTGGTTTTGTAATGTATAAACATGAGATATTGACCGCCTTTAACAGTTATAATAAATGTTTAAACAAAAAATACAGACAATCAATTAAATTTTGTTTATCAAATGGAGAGAAATGGGAAGCTCATTATAACGTACGTGATTTAATATTTTATTAGATAAAACCGTCGGACTTCATAAAAAAAATATTATCAAAAGCCATGGCCATCAACTTGTTTGAGACTTTTTTCAAATTGTTGTATATTTAATCCGATACATAACACAAAAGTATCTAATTTAAAACTGGAACGATGTCTCTTTTGCATATATAAAAAATATAGGTGATGACCGTATATATGTAATTATAGTATGTAGTCCATTTTCCTCAAATACGATCTTGCCTGGAGGAAATTTTAGAAGAACCAACAAGAATTGGGTAATGTACGTACTGCTTTCTCACCTTATGACATACACAAGTTTAAATGTTGCTGTGGGAAACGGTGATTTTAATATTCACCGTGTCTAAAACAAATTTATCTTTACTAATTATTAAAACAACGCTGGCACGCAATGAAAAAATTCTAAAAGAAATTTAGTGTAAGACCTACAAATATTAGAGCCACTTAAAAAATAAAATACTCCACCAGCTTGAACGATTCTTCGTTGGATTTGTTAGGCATTTACTAACAACCATGAAATAGATAGCCTGGAAGATCCAAAACCAAAAACTTTGGATGATATGAATATCTTATACAATTTTTGAGGTTCATAACTCCATTTACATGGGAATCTTATGAAGTTGTCTTGACACGACTTTTATTAATTTATGATTCAGACTACGTAGTATGGGCCCTTCCCCTAATATATATGCATGCACATATTATTTGTGTAGATTAAAGTATTAGTTTTTTTTCTATATATCATTTGGTTTGATGTTTCCCGACTAATAACTAAACAGCCTTGTAATTGACAAAACAAAATCTTCTAGCTAATTGATGAGAGCTTGACTGGGAGTAATTTTAAAAAATTTAAATAATTGATACTAATTTTAATTGAATTCCTCAATTCATGTGATGTTAATAGATCTCATGAGGAAGGAAGGAAGGGAAAGCTTCTCATGCTAAACAATTCTGTGTTTGGTACTTTGATATTGCCCAAACTGATGTATTTGCTCTCACCATCTTAATTTATAAGATAATTTTAAAGGTGGTAATATGAGACAATGTTCGATTGTTTTATTAAATTACTTTTTCAATATTATTATTTTCCTTTTATTTTATGTTCTCTAAGGTTATTAAATAAAAATATTTTTAAAATTTTATATTTATATTTTAAAAAAAATTATAAAGTATATTTAATAAACTTTATTAATAGATGTGTAATTTTGTCCCAACTATCTTAAAGGGCAGAACCTACGGACTGCTATTTATAAACTTAATTCTAAGATTAAAGGACTAACTTTTATCCATCGCACATGCGCCCGCAATTAATGTTTGCTCATAAAATGTGAAAAATGTACAATTTAATCTTTAAAACACTTGTTATTTTGGCAGTATTAAGTGAGCCAAATTTATCCAAAAATAAGACAAGTGTATGTTTTGAAGATTATTATACAATAATTATTTTTTGAAGAAAGGTGAAGGAGAGTATATATTCCACTCTAAAAAAAATTATTACATCAAGTGGGCATATCCCCGTGCAAAAAGAATAATTGGAAGATATAAAACAGACCAATCTAATAAGTAGATAATTATTAGATTTGAATTGAATGTTTCCAAAAGAACATAATTTTCAAGAATCAGATAGCATTTTTTAATTTGTGTGATTAAACTCATCTAATTGGTTCGAGGCGTACAGAATACAATTGACCAAACTTATATAGTATACAATTTTTTAAGATCCTTGTTATTAAGTTATTTAATTAAAAACATAATAAATATACAATTTATCAGTTAAAATACTATTATTAAAAAATTATATGTTTATGTTTTGATTATAAAATTTAACAATGTGTATAAAAAATTATATATATATATATATATATATTTAAAAAGACACTACATTAAAATGTTGGAAATAGGATCTAATTCGAACAAAATTCTAGGATGAAGCCTATTTATGGAAATCAACTCTGATAATTAATTTTTGTCTTGATCAAGTATTTGATTTTTGGGATTATACAAAGCATTTCTTTCCCTTTCTTCTTAATGGCTATAAATCTCGTTTCTCAACAAACTGAATTATATTTCACTGTCTATTTCTTCTTTATTTTGTATGAAAATAATGAACAATGGTCTTGGTCTATGACACGGACTTGCTTTTAACAAGCAGAAGCAGAAGCAGTTTTAGTCATTAATAATCCATCTGGTCAATCAAGCGAGTTCAAATGTAATTAATCTCAATTCAAGATAGATATCTCCCTCTCGAATAAGTGCAAAAGCTGATATTCTTTATTGTTACTTGTGAGATTCCACCATAGCAAATAACATTTCGAGAATGTGCAGCCTCTAGGCCCTCTTTTACATAAACTATCTCTTATAGTATATGCTCAACCGGTCTTATTTATAAATGGCGAGATATTTCTTTTTTTGTCGTTAACTTTATAATTTTTTACATCTATAATTATACAAGTAATTATTTAAAAATTGATTAAAAAAAGACAAGTATAAATATAGAGTATGTTTGCTGTTTTTTAAAAAATAAAAGAGATTCAGATTCTCTTTAAATATAGCGAATAAAATACATATTAAAAAAATCATTTGAATTAAATTTGATAAATGCTTAAATTTGAAATGTGTGTGTATGTAAATATAATAAAATAGAATATGTGTTTTTGATTTTGTTTCAACTTAGCATGTGGCCATGGGTAGGGACACAAGGTAGCTGCGCGTGCTGGTGATGGCTAAACTTAAAAACATTTTTTTATATATATATTGATATTAATATATTAGAGTGAAAGAAATTAAAACATTCTTAATACAAGCTAAGCAGCTTTAGTAAGGAAAAACTGTAGGCAATGCATGCGAGAAAGTGAAAGAAATTAAATTATTATATTTTGATTATAAGCTTTTAAGGATGGTGATGACTTGACTCTTGATAATGCTGAAAGTTGAAACTGCGGTGGGTTCTTCTTTTGAGATACGTTTGTCTGCCAAAGAGGCGGTTTTGCAACGCTGCTTTGAATTTTGGCACTTGCTACCACACTTTAATTTAATTATTTTTAAATTAACATTATTTTTTTAATATTTTTGTATTTAATAAAATATTTTATTTTTAAAGGGTTGAATGATTTATTTATTAAAAATATTTTTATAAATTTTACAAATTATAATTTAAAAAATTAAAAATATATTATATTTTAGAAAGAAGAAAATAAGTTAAATAATTAATTTATATAAATTAAAAATATTATGTGAATTACTTATCTGTAGAAATATCATTTTTAAATTATTTATATTGACAATTACTATTACTGTTGATTACAGATATTGGGTAGTTTGAAAGTAAAATAATAAAGAAAAAATTGATGTTTTAATCTTTCAACTTTTAATTTACTTATAACTCAGTCATTTAATTATGACTCGCTGGAACTCAGTCCCTCAATTATGACTTACTTATGATTCAATCCTTCAACTTTTGAATCACATATAAATTAGTCTTTGAACTTTTCTTAATTTTTTTCATGTTAGCTTATATCTCATATCAATGAGCAAAAGGAGGATATTTTAGAATAATATATGAACATTTTTTATCCCTCTTATTTGATAAGAAATTTTAAAAAAATTAAAAAATAAGGATCAAATTATAAGTAAATCAAAAGTTGAGGGACTGAGTCGCAACGAGTTATAATTGAGAGACTGAGTTACAAGTAAATTAAAAGTTAAAGGATTAAAAAAATTAATTTTTTCAATAATAAATATAAAAGACAAATGAGATTTTGAGATCGAGATCTTTCATTTGAAATAAAAATAAAATTTTCAGTTAGGTTTAAAAAAATAAAAAATTTATTGAAATATATAAATGATAATAAAATTCTACAAAATATGATAATTTCTTTTAAGTCCATTGAAACCATTTTTACCTTAATATTTTTTGTTAAGTAACTAAAATGCTTTCAATTTAAAATAAACGATGGGTGGAACTTATTATTTATCATCCTGTTTTTAATCATTGCTAGAATAAAAATAGTTATTATTTAAACTAAAGTTATTATTAATATTTACAATACTTGAATTTCAGTAATTAAAAATTTTATAAAGTGAAGTTTATCATTTACTATCCTACTTTAGTCATTATTAAAATAAATTAGTTATTACTTAAATTAAAGTAATTAATGAGTGTTTTTTTTATTTTAAATTAAAGATGTTACAGTCACTTCACAAATGATATTGATATCAAAAAAGTCTAACGAGACTTGTGAAGAATTATTATATTTTGTAGCATCTCATTGTCATTTGATTTCAAGCAGATATTTTTGTTATTTTCTCTGGCTTCTGTATGTATATAAGAGCAGCAGGAATATAATCCATTCAAATTACCTGCTCCCTCCATTTCACAAAAAGTGTCATGAAAATATTTTTTATGTAGATAAAGACAATTATTAAATAATCTAAATTTTTGTAAAATATAAACAAATAAATATCATTTAGGCACTTGGGGTGCATTAATAA